GACAGACAGCTCTGTGATACTCAGAGTCCATTATAAGTGGGACAGCAGGTTATAAAGTCTTTGACTGACTCACTGTTCAGTCTGCTGTTCAACACCATGACTCTCTGCTCCACGTTCAACTCTTCATCCTCCAGCTCACTCTTCAGCTCCAACACCTCCACCTGCTGCACCTCCTCCTGCTGCACCTCCTCCTGCTCCACCTCCTCCTGCTCCTCCTGCTGCACCTCCTCCTGCTCCTCCACCTCCTCCTCCTGCTGCACCTCCACCTGCTCCACCTGCTCCTCCTGCTGCACCTCCTCCTGCTCCTCCACCTCCTCCTGCTCCTCCTGCTGCACCTCCTCCTGCTCCTCCACCTCCTCCTGCTCCTCCTGCTGCACCTCCTCCTGCTCCTCCACCTCCTCCTCCTGCTGCACCTCCACCTGCTCCACCTGCTCCTCCTGCTGCACCTCCACCTGCTCCATCCTCTCTGTAACACAAACACAAGGGTTATTTTATCACAGCACATCCGGGTCACTTACTCACCTTTAGGAACTGTTACCTCAATCTGAGATATTTAAAATCAACTTACAAACTGTTCATTTACAGTTAATACAAGAAGAAGTCACTAGAAGGTGCAGAACAGTGTCACCTCACCTGTCGATGAGAGTCTCACCTCACCTGTCGATGAGAGTCTCACCTCACCTGTCGATGAGAGTCTCACCTCACCTGTCGATGAGAGTCTCTTTCCTCTGGCGTCACCGATTCTAACGGGTCACAAATGTCTGTGTAACACCTGTTAGCGCTAACGTTAGCATGTACACTCCGAGGAAACACAGTTAGCTCCAAGACAGCTGTGTGAAAATAAAGCTAACCGGCTACTTAACCGTCATGATGACTCGTTAACGCGTAAAAGTCAAATTAAAAACTCTAAAAAAACTACAAAAAGTGACATTTACGAGCTCGTTCGGTTAGCTTTTAGCAATCAGGGGGAAGTCGACGCTCAGCCGTTTCTACGGCAACATGACGTCATTACGCTGCGACGGCGCGTCCCTCTCCCTCTGCACCAAAACGGAGCTGAATATCCACACATCTCTCTCTCTTCCTACGTCACTGATTCTCATCAGAATAACTTTACTGACATGTAATGGCTATAAAAACAGGATTTGATGCCAAAGCTAAACATATTGTTGATTTTTTAAATAAAAAATAAAAGAGTTTGAAGCCCACACTGTATTGAGGCACTTCTAAATAAAATATTGGATTTAATTTATATTTGTTAATATCATTAAAAAGGTGTTTTAAAGCCCTTTATCACCTCTTCAGTTTGTACAGGAGGCAGGCTGCTGTGTGATCACTTGTCCTCTGGGTGGCGCTGTAGCTTCAGTCATTCAGAAGTCTGTTCATATTTTATTGGTGACATAAATAAACGTGTATTTCCTCCCCTCTTTATATTCTTAAAATTAAATAACACAGTCCGTAATATCTCTGAGTATCCATTACTCACATATAAACATGAAATCATATTTTAATTGAAGGTAAAGTCTGACATGGATTAAAAAGCCCAATCTGTTTAATTTGTTTGTGTTGTTGTCTTGTGCTGTTTGTTTGTTAGATAGGTCTACATTAAATATTTAAAATACTTTTTATTACATTTGTCTATTTTTTATAAATACTGATGTTTTATTTCACTGCTCATTTCTAATCTTTGTCCCACGTTCATTCATCTGTTCATACTTTGATTTGTGTATACGGAAGTGATGTCATTTAAATAAACTTTAACCATCATTTTATTTATTATTATATGAAACTAATGTGTTAAAACTAATAAATTATAATAAAACTAATAAAATATTAAATCTTAAATATTTCATAATAATGAAAAAAAAATAGATAAATTTAACGGGACCTGTAACGGGACCGACAGTAACAGTAGTAACGGGGAGAGGCCGGGGTGTGTGTGTGTGTGTGTGTGTGTGTGTGTGTGTGTGTGTGTGTGTGTGTGTGTGTGTGTGTGTGTGTGTGTGTGTGTGTGTGTGTGTGTTCCTCGGTGCAGCAGCTGCTGCAGCCCTCCTGCACAGCGCCCCTCTCTCTCTCCGGTGCGCCTGCGTGCTCAAACACACCGAGCGACCGAGCGTCCGCTGCCTGGACCGGCAGGAGGAGAGCGACGAACACCGGGGGCTGCTGGGAACTTCACGGAAACGGTAAATGCGGGCAGTAACGGTGTCGGTGGCAGTAACGGTGACGTGATGTGATGCGATGCCGCGCGGGATCTCGGTAACGTAAGAAGAGCAGCAGCAGCGGAGGAGGAGGAGGAGGAGGAGGAGGAGGACTGTCGAGGCTCAGCCGAGGAGAGGATGCAGCAGTGACCGACGGATCGGTACCGGGAGGAGGGGAACACATCCGTCCGTCCAACGGAGCCAGCGGCCGCCTCCCCGGGTCTCGGACCGACCCGATCGGATGTAAAGCCGCAGGGATGGACGGGTAGGCTGGAAGGAGGAGCGGAGAGACCGACGGTACATAACGGAGGAGAGAGCGCCAGGCGGAGGAGCAGCGGAGGAGGAGGAGGGAGGATGAATTCTGGGGATGGAGGAGGAGAAGCGGGCCCGGACGGCCTGGCGACGGCAGGTAGGGTGTGTGTGTGTGTGTGTGTGTGTGTGTGTGTGTGTGTGTGTGTGTGTGTGGATGCACGCGTGTGTGTCTGTGTAGTGGGAGCTGCTGTCGCCATGATGCCTCCACATCCGCCCATTGACTCAGAGAATGTGTGTGTGTGTGTGTGTGTGTGTGTGTGTGTGTGTGTGTGTGTGTGTGTGTGTGTGTGTGTGTGTGTGTGTGTGTGTGTGTGTGTGTGTCAGCATCCCCTCTGTCCAATGGCATTGGGGTGTGTATGTGTATTGGGGGTGGAGGGTCTCTACCAAGGAGGATTGTGGGAAGGCCTGCTTGGTTATTAACTGTGTGTGTGTGTGTGTGTGTGAGTGTGTGTGTGTGTGTGTGTGAGAGTGTGTGTGTGTGTGTGTGTGTTAAGGTGTGTAAATGGTCTCATGATGCAGTACTGTACGTCTGTGAGTAATATTGTTATCATACTATGTTTGCAGAAATACTGTGCTCTGATTGGCTGTCTGGGGGTCTATATGAATCACAGATGTGTATCAGGATAAGCACGGTCATCATTTAGGGTGCTCAAGGTAACATCAACCTGCAGGTAACCATGGCAACAGCTCTGATGCTCCACGCAGGTGAAACTAACCAAATGTTTACATCAAAAGGAATGTTTTCTGTTAAAGAGGTGAACTGTGACATCACAAGTTAGATCAACATTAGAAACATGATAACATTATGAAACAGGGCAGTGGGAGTCAAACTGTGGCACGTGGGCCAAATCTGGCCCTCTAACAAAAAACTGATCGGCCCCCTCAGCTCACTGAAGCTCCATTTTGTAGTTTGCATCCAAAATTCAACAAAATTCTTCTTAAAGACAGAGTCAGCAGATTCCTCCTTCAAAATAAAATACAGACTTCTCCCAAAGTAAAGACAGAGTCAGCAGATTCCTCCTTCAAAATAAAATACAGACTTCTCCCAAAGTAAAGACAGAGTCAGCAGATTCCTCCTTCAAAATAAAATACAGACTTCTCCCAAAGTAAAGACAGAGTCAGCAGATTCCTCCTTCAAAATAAAATACAGACTTCTCCCAAAGTAAAGACAGAGTCAGCAGATTCCTCCTTCAAAATAAAATACAGACTTCTCCCAAAGTAAAGACAGAGTCAGCCGATTCCTCCTTCAAAATAAAATACAGACTTCTCCCAAAGTAAAGACAGAGTCAGCAGATTCCTCCTTCAAAATAAAATACAGACTTCTCCCAAAGTAAAGACAGAGTCAGCAGATTCCTCCTTCAAAATAAAATACAGACTTCTCCCGAAGTAAAGACAGAGTCAGCAGATTCCTCCTTCAAAATAAAATACAGACTTCTCCCAAAGTAAAAACAGAGTCAGCCGATTCCTCCTTCAAAATAAAATACAGACTTCTCCCAAAGTAAAGACAGAGTCAGCAGATTCCTCCTTCAAAATAAAATACAGACTTCTCCCAAAGTAAAGACAGAGTCAGCAGATTCCTCCTTCAAAATAAAATACAGACTTCTCCCAAAGTAAAGACAGAGTCAGCAGATTCCTCCTTCAAAATAAAATACAGACTTCTCCTAAAGTAAAGACAGAGTCAGCAGCTTGTTCCTTCAAAATAAAATACAGACTTCTCCTAAAGTGAAGCTGCTCCATCGTCCCGATCGACGTAGCATCAAAGAAGAGAAAATATAATGAGAGTGAGGAGAAACACCAAGTGGATAAAGATCGTTCTAAAACGAGGGTGAACCTTGTGTTGGACGTGGAGTTGGTCTACTTCCTGTTGGACAGGAAGGTGATGAACACCGGCGGTTAGCTTGCAGTGTAGCTACAAGCAGTAAACGTACACACTACGTCCTGCAGGGGGCGGGGCTTCTGGAGGAGGAGGGGTCCAGTTTGAATGTTTACAAACATTTCTCCTGACTCCGCCTCTGCTAAAAAGAACAATGTAATAAAAGAAGACCTTTAAGAGGTGACATGAACGACAGGATGAATACGTTCATGTCCTGATCTGTTTCATCTGATCCAAACAAAGAGTCAAAGAGCTTCAAACACATCCTGAGTTTCATAGTGAAGCAGAGGTCGGCCTCTCTC